TTTTCAAAACCACGCTTAATATCTCGAAAGATAGAAATGTAGTTACGAAATCTTTGGATTCGTTAATAATATCTAAATCTAGAGTCTTCTCATCAACTTGAGGAGAGATGGTCACATGAAATTGAGGAGAGATGGCCACTTTTCATTAATGCTTATTGCCGTATCAAGTACCGTAGGGTCCTTAAAAAATTTAAATTGGTAGAAAAAGTAAGAAAATAGGATGTATTTTAGTAAATTAGTTTTCACCACCATGTTTAATATCTCTAAATAAATCTAGTTACTAAATCTTTGGGTTCGTTAATGGTTTCGTGGACTACAAATTTATAAACAAATATGTTTACTAAGCTATTTTATTTTGGTTAAAAAAAATTAAATTTTTTAACTAAAATTTTACTTAATTAATTTAAATTTTATTAAATTATAATTATTTTTTTACACAAAAAGTTTTATTTATCATGGAGATATTGGAAAAACACTAAGTAAAAAAATAAATGCAATATAAAAAAAATTCAAAATACAAATGGCAATAGTTAACGTCATATTAAATTTTTTTCTTATTAAATTTAACAAATTTGAGCGTTAATGTGAGTATCCTGGGTTATTCGCGTTTCCTATGTTAACTTTTTTTTTCTCAATGAATGCACAATGAACATAAAAAAAAACCTTTCTTAGAGTAAAAAAGGAAACAATAAAAGGTGTTTTATGAATCCTCGGATTCCTGGAAATCAGTATTTTTCTTTCCTGAGATCCTGGGATGCAGTAAATCTAAAGAAAGCTCGGTAATACAAAATGCATCACTGACACTTATTTTCAGTGTAAAGGAATAAAATACCCACTGGAGCAAGGAAAAAAGCTTTACAAAACTGGAAATATCACCTCCAACAAGGTTTTTTTCTTTTCTTTAGGGCACGCAGGGGTTTGTAAATCGTGTAGCAAAAGAATGTGAAAGTCAAGGAATTAGAAAATAATGTAGATGTTTTCCACTTTCTGTCTTCGGGGAAATGGTTGGGATGCTTTAAATATTTTCTTTAAATTTCTTATTTCACTTCATCAGTAATTAATTAAATATTTAAAAAACGAATTTCAAATCGGAATTATTTGATTGTTAAATTTATTCCAATTTTTTTAAAAACCTTTGTTTCTATTTATTATTCCGCTTGAAAAAAATTTTTAATATTGGCATTCTCTTAGTGTTATAAGAACGTTTTATGAAGCATATTTAACTGTAAGCAATTAATCTACTAAGAACCCTGTCAAGTTGACCACCTATCTAAGTTGACCTCCTTAACTAAGAACCGGATTTATTCTACCAAGGAAGAATCCCCACCACCGCTAAGACCCACTGAGTACATCTGTGGAAGTTATGTGATCTGTCGATAAGCAGTACCATGGACACAGGGATCAGAGGAAAATTTCCTTCCTCTTCCAATCTATGTCTAAATTACGTATGTGGTCTTACGAATGAGTGATACTGCCATTTATCCGTGGGGTTCTAAGCTAACGCGTACTTTCACCCTCGCGGTGTTTTCTTGTACAACAAAAGGCGCACCTTCCTGACCTAATTAGTGAAAAGCCAATGGATGGCTAGCTAGGAGTATCCAAGTGTCATCAGAGACACAATATAATAAGTATCTCTTAAGACCACTAACAAAATATACATTTTTGCATACATATTTGCTTGTTCTTTTTTTAAAAAACTAACCAGTGTTTAATATTTAAGTTTTTTAACACATTTTAATTCATTTTGGGAATTAATCTAGGTTTTTAAGTTCAATAAAACTTAAAATCATGTTAAAAATATTTACATTTATCTTTTTTTTTTCTTTTTTGTAGAATATTAGAAATGCATTGATAACATATTATAAAAATAACACAAGATAACGAATGATAAAAGATATAAAAACACTAACTCATTCATTTTAATGAGATCACCCACAAAGTTGACCTACAATGTATACACCGCATGTGGTCAACTTACCCACGTTTCATTGCATTAGATTTCAAGTTCCGATCCGTATGCGTTATTGGTATTTTGAAACTTAGTTTGAAATTGTTTTTTCAAGGTAGGAAAAAATAATAATTTTTATGGTATAAAATATTCAGTTTTTATTTTATTAATTTGAAGAAATATATAAACAACAGGAAACCGAAATATTTGTTTCGGTTTTCAAAAAATTAATATCCGCCTTTCATTCCAAACATGAGAACCCCTTTTTCATTTATTGAATGTTCGAATAATTTTAGTTTTTCTCGAGGCGCAGAATTCAATAAAATAAAAAAAAAGAGTTATTTTGTTTGTATCTATTAATAATAAAAATAAAAATTCGTTCTGTGCTCAAGTACTTTCGGATAAATATTCAATTACTTTTCGACATTTCCGTCTTGTTGAAATTCCGGAAAATTCCAAGAAAAAATGCCCTTCTCTGCTTTCCCGTATTATTGTTCATATGTAAAGGAAACTAGTCTCAAAGTTTCCTTTCTCGCAAAATAGTAAAAGAAAATTTATCTTAGAAAGGATTTTCTCTTTGCACTTTTGTTTCGAAGGTATATTGAGAAAAAAATATATATGTGATATCAGAAAACAGTGTTGAATAAATTAGTTTTACGTCTGCATTTATTTTGATACGCGGTAGCTAAAAAATAGGGCATTGTAGGTATTATTAAAATTTATTCAATTAAATGTGCCCATGTACACACATTTAAAAGAGTATCAACTCTCTAATATGCCATATTAAAGAAAGAAGGCCATATTAAAGAAAGAAGTTTCGAAGTTATACGTGATATCAGAAAACAGTGTCGACTAAATAAGTTTTACGTCTACTTGTATTTTGATAGAGGGTAACTAAGAAATAGAGCATTGTATGTATTAATAAAATGTGCCCATGTTCACACATTAAAAGAGTATCAACTCTCTTATAAGTCATATTAAAGAAAGAAGTTTCGAAGTTAGTTATACGTGATATCAGAAAACAGTGTCGAATAAATAAGTTTTACGTCTACTTGTATTTTGATAGAAGGTAGCTAAGAAATAGGGCATTGTAGGTAATTAATAAACCGTGTTCAATTAGATGTCCCCATGTACACACATTAAAAGAGTATCAACTCTCTAATATGTCATTATATTAGAGAAAGAAGTTTCGAAGTTGTACGCGATATCAGAAAACAGTGTCGAATAAATAAGTTTTACGTCTACTTGTATTTTGATATAGGGTAGCTAAGAAATAGGGCATTGTGGGTATAACAAAAAATATTTTCAATAAAATGTGCCCATATACACATATTAATAGAGTATCAACTCTCTAATATGTCATATTAAAGAAAGAAGTTTCGAAGTTATACGTGATATCTGAAAACAGTGTCGAATAAATAAGTTTTACGTCTACTTGTACTTTGATAGAGGGTAGTTAAAAAAATAGGGCATTGAAGGTATAAATTTAATTTAATGTACGCACGTACATACATTAAAAGCGTATCAATTCTATAATATATAATTATGTTAAAAAAAGTTTCGAAGTTACATTGCTTTCTGATCACAGATATTTTTATCAATGTCGAATAAATTAGTCTTACAAAGAAATAACATGCAAATCAAGGAAAAATCGCTTAAAAATATGCATTCAAAAGCTTGAAAGTACTCTATAATGGTTCAATGGTATACTTATAAGAATTGAAACAAAAAAAAATTATTAAAAAATTGCTAACATCAAATCGTGTTGTGTCCGTGATAAGCTATTAATAAGAGTTGTAAAAAATTTAAAAAAAAGTCACTTAAAGACAATATGTGCAATCTTATTTTGATTCGTGTAAGTTTAGACAAAAAAAAATGCGTCACTTTAAAATATTCTACTTTTGCGTTTCACTGTTTAAGGAAGGGGAAAAAAATCAAATCTTGCGTGTATAACATCTCCAGTCAATGAAAAATAACGTCCGGGTATTAAAATATACGTTCAAAAGCTCGTAAGTACCCTATAACTGTTCAGTCATTTTAACTTGAGTTACTAACATTTTTTTTTTGCTTTTCATTTTTTGCGTTCACGTATGAAGCAAAGAAGGCAATTTGTGATAAAAGCTTTCTGTTCATACATAATTCATTCTGCTATAGTTTTTAACCAGGAGAACATCCTGTTTCGAGTTGTGCTTGTTCCTTCGAACATTTCAGGGGTGGTTCGAAAGAAAATGAAAAGAAACAAAAAAATTCACTTTTACGACTCTTTTACTTTCAACCAGGATTTGAATTTTGCGTGCATTTCGGGAAAATTGGATGGATTTTCCACTGCTTTTTCTCTATTTTTCCCCATCTTGATTGTGAAAGCGTTGAGCCTAATTTTTTACGTCAACTGAAAGTGAAATTTTGTGTTTCAAACGTGGAAGTATCTATTTTTAGCAGTTTTTAAAGTGTGAATAAGTAGAGACTATGTATATAAACTAGGCTTAATGAGTGTTCGAATTGTGAGGAAAAAAATTTTAACATTTTTTTAAATTCTTTTAAAGTGTGTTATAGTTTGTAAAAGTGCATTGACTACGTATTCAATTTTTATTTTTTTGCAATTCATTTTCTTAAATAATTATTACAGCTTAATTTTAAATAAAACTCAATTTTTTTTTCTTGAAATATTGATTTTTATTAAACAAATGGAATTTAAATAAAAATTAAATAAATATAAGAAATTAAAGGAATGGTAAATAAATGTACTAAAATCTTTTTTATGTATTATTAAAGAATTGAAATTAAAGGAAAAAGAATTCAAAACGCGTCAATTAGTATATACGAAATTCCTTACAATATTAGTAATATTTAGTAAAAATATTTAAATCGACAAAATTTTCAGGCTTAAACAATCTACATGTGGGGAAAAGGAGTGTTCTTCTTACATATTTTTTTATCCTCCCATAACTGACACGACTATTTTTGCAATGACTGTAAGCAATGAATAACATAATAAATAACAAAATGAATAACATAATAAATGTTAGTAACAAAGAGAAATCGTAATACTTACATTTATGTATATCACAGGCATGTTAAGTTGAACCCTATACGGTCCCATCACATCACACCAATTTTACAGAATTCGTAATCGAGGATCTTCGGAGCGAGGAAGTTTTAAAATCCTTGCAACTGACACTGTCTTTGTGAAGTCTAGCTTCAGGCATTGCAAACCGAAGCTTTTCCCAAAACCTCCTATCACCCCAATGAACTAGCGTAGCAGATCTCAAGCAGATCCGGACATCCGGTTCCAGCTGCTTGAAACTGATTTTGTCCAGAAGAACCACAATGACTCGATGACGCCGGTTAATCTGAGTCTCATGGTGTGCAGCTTTCAACTCGTATATGCACCATTCACTCTTCAGATATTGCTCAGATATTACAGCAACCGTACAGCGGCTGCACTCAATTGCTTCCGAAATGGCTTCAGCAACGTACTCAGCCATCGGTAAATCTCTGTATCGTAAACACAGTCTGTGCGGATAAGTACCATCTTCAAGCTCAGGAGCAAGCATTTGTGACACAAAAGCTTCATCTTTCTTGCAATAGGACAAAAATGCGTCGAATAGTTTTTCATTCTCAGCGGGGTAGTTATTCCGCTGAAATAATCGTATACCGTAACGGCTGTAAAACCATATTTTCATCTCACTGTTGTAGATGAAGAATAGAATCAAACAGAAGACTAGTAGAATAAATAAGGATGGAGCTAATATCATGACAGGTATGTAATCACCCGAAAATTCAGCTTTGTAATAGGTTAAAGCACTGTGATTGGAACAAGCGGTGGAATTGAATTCCGTCACATACAAGCCAGCCGAATGGTTCTTGTAGCATCTCACATCTTCACGATCTAGTACGAAAGATCCAGAAACTAGGAGCCAGTCCTGGAAATTTCCTAAATAGTCGCAAGAGCACGTCCAACTATTGTGCCCAAGCTGCACTTGAGAAAGACGATGATTGAAGTTGAGATTCCATACCTGAAAATCAACAAGATTGTTGTGATCCAGGTATAGAACTTTTAAGAATTTCATGTGTGTAAAACTGGAATTATTGATGACTGACAAACGGTTATAGGACAGATACAATTCTTGCAGTTTTGTGAGATTAAGGAATTCATGACCTTGGATGACCGATATGTAATTGTGTTCCAGATGCAGGGACTGCAAATTTTGTAATCCGTTAAACGTTCTATTTCGAATCGCATGTATATTGCTGCCATTCATGTGAAGCACTTTCATGTTCTTGCGTCCGATAAAGGAATGACTGCCAACTTGGCTCATGTCATTTCCATCTAAATACAAATCCGTCACATCCATGGGGATTCGAGCTGGAACGCGGGAGTACCTTCTGGAACTACAATCAACAATATTAGTATTCCAAGTTTGATCAGAATAACAAGTGCAATTTTCAGGGCAAACCATCTCACAATCACAAGCATCGAATTCACAGCAGTGGCAGAGGGCGAAACAATGGCTTCTGTATTTGCATAAGAATTCATTCGACTTGGCTTTTGTAATCGGAATCAAAACATTTTGACGTGGAAACGTCATGTAGCACAAAACATCATCTAAATCGGCGATATGGGGGTACTGCCTCATTTCATCCAGATTATTTATGCGCTGCAGCCATTCCATGGTGCAGTCGCAATGCAGTGGATTTTCCGATAAATAAAATACGGGCAACATTTTCTGAATCGGAACACTTCGTAGTCGCAAAGCATTGATATCTAAGTTTTGAATATTATTATTACGTAGATCCATCGAAGACAAGTTGGTTTTGCTCATAAATGTGAAAGAATTTATTATGTTCAAAGAATTGTTTCGCAAAGAAGCTATTTCCAAAGCATTTGGAAAAGAAGCTGCGTTAATTTCTTGTATTCTATTAAAAGAAGCATCCATGAATTTGAGTTTAAGAACACTTTCCATTTCAAAGTAATTACCGAGACTGTCAATAAAATTAGAATGCATATCCAATGTAATAAGACCAGTAGGTACCAGTGCATAATCGAACCATGTTATGTTATTTCGAGAGACATTTAGTGACTTTAAACTTTGTAGGTTCATAAATAAACCATTTATGTCAGTTAGAAGATTATCATTTAATTCAATATGTTCCAACTCAATTGCATCATCAAATATACCATGCTCCAAAGATTGTATCCTGTTTTTTGAAAGATCCAGCACACGTAACGAGTATTGGTCACGAAGGGTACCCCGACTTAAATTTCCGATGAAATTGTTCTTCATGTTTAAAGTATGAAGGGTCTTCAAATTTTCTAAAGTATCATTGGTAACATTCGATAAAGAATTCATGGATAAATCTAAATCGTGTAGAAATTCCATCTTGTTTATAGCGATTGGGAATGATGTCAAACTGTTGTTTTTTAGGCTTAAGGAATGTAGATGTGTAAGATTCGTGAATGCATCCGAATGAATTAGTTCCATGTGGTTATTGGTTAATAATAGCTGTTTCAGATTTAGTAAGCCATAAAATGTTTCAGCCTCGATCAGTCTAAGCTTGTTATTAGTTAAGTCTAGGTCTGTAAGACTTATTAAATGAGACAAAGCTTTTTCCGCTATGTACTCTATGTAATTATCTTTCAGATTTAGAACATGCAAGTTTACAAGAGTCTGAAATGGCGTTCCTTCTATCCTTCTCACTCTGTTGTAACTAAGATTTAGCACATTTAGTTTATTAGGATTCTTGAAGGAGTCTAGAAGGAAATGTAAATCGAAAATAATGTTATAGGACACATCTAGATGAGAGAGTTGGGACAGGGATCGGAACAAAGCGGAGGGGAAACCAGCTATGGAATTGTTCCGGAGTAATATTTCACGGAGTTCTGTGGAATGGTGGAAAAAGTGTGGATGGAATTCACTTAGTTTGTTATTGGACAGATCAATAAATTGGAGCCTTTGTAGTCCTATCAAAGCATAAGGTGACATTTGAGAAATATGATTGTCACTGAAAGATATATTTCTCAGTCTTCTTAAGGACGAAAGCACTTCATCTGTAAGATATTTCAAGCGGTTGTGGGATAAATCTAACATCTGCAGTTCTGGAATGCAAGGGAACAGCTTGCGTTCCTCCAGGCCAAGAAGTTTTGCATCCTGCAAGCCATTTCCACTGAGATTCAAAAGCTTAAGATTAATAAGGCCACAGAATGGATATTCGGGAAGCATAATGATGTTGTTGTTCGCAAGATCAAGGTTCTCGAGTTCTCGAACTTTCATAAAGGTGGTCGGCCCGATGGTCAAAGTGGTTCGAGTTCCTTCAAGCTTTCCAGTGTGCACCGTTAAGTTCTTAAGTGACGTGAGTCCATATAAAGCATCGTCAGCTAATTCGGAAAAAGAGCAGCGTTCAAACCTCAGAGACTGCAATTGTTTGAGATGCGCTAAGGAACTGTTTGTAAGGCGCCCTTCAACGTATCGATCATCACAGATAATAGTCAACCCAGTTGTGTGAGATGACTGTATAAGGCTCAAGTTCGTACTGTCTATTGAAGTGCCTACGCCGCTCACGTGACAAGTTAATATTACACTTGGCTCTAATGTATTACTTTTCATTGTAGTCCATTGGCAATCACTAGGTGCCATGTAATTCATGGCACATATCCGTTTAAAATGCAAAAGTAGAGTTAGGAAGAGTATTACGACTTTAATTTGGTCCTTCATTTCGACGAAGTGATATGTAGAAGTACTAAACAAAAATCAGCAGCTGAAGCACTTTCTTTCTATAAATATCTTATACAAATTGACTTCCATCAACAGCCCTATATATATAATACTTTTATGTCCAAAGAGAGAAAAAATAGTTTCTCTAAATAGTATATCTAACTTTATTTCTATTTCACAGTAACGAAAAAATATTTCATATCACACTAGAAGAAGACGAGAATCTTTTTTCTTTTGCTTCGCATAAAGTAGGAAAAGAATAATTATCTCGAGTCTTCGAAGTCCCATCAATACTGCACGTAAAAAAATTGTATCGAATACCTCTGCTAAACTAAGATGTAAGGCTTTTCAAAGAAATTTCAGCTGTTTCCAAAAACGAAAAGCTTTTTTCTATCACTTTGCAGGTAAGAAAAAGAAACTTCTAAAAAACTTCTTTTTATCCTATTGTTTCTGAAAGCTCCCAAACTTAATCACCAAATTGGAAGCTACCCTTGAAGAAGATAAAGAAGACCGCTTCAGACAATTGGTGGCCACGGGGATTTAACCAGTTGGTTCCTCTTCCCCGAAGTGTCCGTACAAGAATTCCTTTTTGGACATCTGTCAGCTGAACTAAATACCTCCTCAGATGTCACTTTGGGAGCACATGGACATTTCTGGCTCATTTGCAGCTGGAACTTTCAGGTGAGCATTACATAAGCTTCCCATTAATTTCGAAGATGCTGTAAATCAATTGAGCGAAGAATTCTCGAATACCAGGCCTTATTCGGTCACACACTGCCTACTGGAGTATGAAATGGACCTCGAAATAGAGACAGATGGCTCCCTGGTGGCAACGTGAAAATTGCCGCTAGAACGGCATACGACAGGACGATCCTTCTTGACAATAAATCTAAGAAAGAAAGAAAAAAAAGAAAATGCTTTTAGCATACATGGTATTGTAGAATAGGTAAAAGAAATGGTATTACAAGAGTAATAATTGTAAGGGTAACTATTGCGAAACAATGATTAACCACAGTTTTTTTAAGAAAAAAGATATTGCTTTTAGCATACCAGGCATTGTAGAATAATGAAAGAAATTGCATTACATGGGTAATAATAGTAACAAAATTGTATTTACCACAAATTTTTAATGATTTCTTTGAACAGTTAAAAATGTATATCAATCACCATCTTAAAATGACGGTAAAAGGTCTTATAGATTTAATTATTTTATGCATATTTTATGGAATATAACCTGGTAGTATTTGAAAATATATTTTAAGTATATAAAATTAAATGTGTTTGCCAATTTCAATACAAAGTTTTTAAATTTTTTTATTTTTTCTCGTAGCTTGTCATTGTTTGAAAAACCCTTGTACTACATACAGAAAGTTTATAGCAATATTATTTATAACTGTTATAAAACGAATAATCCAATGAATATACTTTTAAATGACACAATAATAAAAAAATAAACGCATTTTTCCTTTAGTATAAATGGTAAAAATTTCCATACTTTTCAATCCTATCCTTGTATTGTATATATAGGTTGTGTATATAGGTTGCAACTGTATTATAACTATTAAAAGAGCTCCTAACAAATTTATAACAGTATTTCCCCATATTAAACCACATAAAATGGAATAGCATAATGCCATGTAACTTTTCACTTTTAATGTAATTAGCTTTAGCTAATCAAAAACATTAATCGTATAATGGAACAAAAATATAAATTCACGTATCAATAAAGTAAACAAATGCTCATTATTTGTGAAACAATTAACCATTCTTTTATATGAATCATTTAAAATTTCAAGAACCCTGAAATATTTAAGTTATACATTTACGTGTAAACATTTTAAAAAACATCCCTAAGCGTGAATCTTCAAATTATCCATTAACATAAATTGTTACATTTTCCTAAATATTTGAATGGTTCATAAACATAAATGCACCAATTCTCGGGAAATATTGGATACTTTTTTTTACGATTTTTTAATTAGAAATAATAAAATTAAAAAAAAAGCTCGAGTAATAAGATAATAGCACTGTTATTAGAAACTAAATTTTTATAAACCTCGCGTCCTTTTTATTTTAACCTTTTCTTGTTTTGGTGGTGGTGCAATTTTCACTTATCTCTGCCACAAGCGGAAACAGTAAGCTGTCTTCTTCCGAAGCCGTAAGCAGTTGGAATAAGGTTTTTCAAATTAAACGTTCTTTTTCGAAAGCTTGAGATTAAAAAGTGGTTTTTTAATCTTTTTGTTTGCCTGAGCGTCTAGGCAATTGTTCGTAGCTTGGCTCGATTCCAAACTGAGTCACAAAAGATTTGATGGAATTTTAACCGCCAACAAATAGTTTCTTTATATAATGAGAGAGACACTTTAATTACTTTACAAGATTCAGGAACGAGATTTCTGCTTTTGTGCGTTCGATTTTGTTCTGTTTGTGTGTTTGGAGACGCGGAGTAAACAAGGTTAAAGAACGGCCATTTACTAGCTACAGCCTTAATGCTTCGTTACTTTTTCATTTAAATCTTTTCATTCATTATTGCGGAACGAAATAACTCTTATTTCATGAATGAAATTTGTTTTTCTTATATCTTACAATGCTGTAGAATTCTTTTTAAAAAATAGAAAAGATACCACTCGTTATTTATAGCTACAAAACAGTTTCCTGACTTAACAAAGAATGAAACATATATTATTTTCTTAATTAATATAGTTTGAAAAAAAAATCCACAGTTTCCTTGATACTGTATTTCACAAGTTTCACATTTAAACTTTCAAGTATTATGTAAAGTTACACATTTAAATTATTAAAAGCTTTTTTTTTTCTTTGGAAATTGTAGCAATTTGTGCGTCTTTGCCCTGCCTACTTATAAAAAGAATTAAAACATAGCTATGTTTAAAAAAGCGTGGGCGACGCTGCTCTACTGCCGTGGCTCCGCCATAGGTGCCCACTGGGTAACGAGGAGAGAGTAGCAGTTCCGGCACTCTTGGCCAATGGGAGGACAATACATCCCAAGTGCCCACCATTAAAAAAAAAAAAATTTAAAAAGCAAATAAGAAGTAATATAAAATTTTAAATGTCGCCTAAATAAAATTTAAAAAATATTTGTGTCTATATTTTTATTATACTATCATCATATTAGTTTTATAAAAATAATATTTCTTCAAAGGCTTTAAAAAAACAAGCTGTTTAGGAATGCACATGTGTTCAATATTTTTTAACCATTGATTGGTATTTTTTATTCAATCCATTGGACTCATTCTATTAGGAATTAAAGTTAATATACTCTCCTTGTATCAAGCAAATCAAGATTAACAATCCGCATGTGTTAAAGATTTTAAATCCTAGATAAGTTAATACAATTTACTCTAACTTAGTGATTAATCAATGGACTTATCTGTTATGAATCATCATTTCGTATATCCCGTTTTAAAAGAATCAGGATTGATGATCCCCCCCGCATTAAAATATTTTAGCCCTAGATTCATCATTAGGTGAAGCTCTGTGAATATCATTGAATGTATGAAACCTTGGTAGATGTTTGAAGATTGTATCTTAACATAAATAACAGTATGCCTTTGAGAAACTAGTAACCATTAGTAGCTTTATAACTTTTAGCTCATTTAGATATTTATCCTAATCGAAAATAGTAAATCAATTTTATTCATCAATTATATAAGTCCCTCTATGATTTAAATTTTATCCAGTTGTTGTTGTTGCGACTCATACTCCAATGCCTGACGAAGTCAAACAAGGTCCATTAGATCGTTAACTCTAAGGAAATCGAGACCAGAAGGGGGGGAGATAAATATATGTCCTCTCTGGAAAGTCCCAAACAGTCCAGGATGTGTTCGGGAGAAGCCTGCTCAGTTTGACATTTGGAGCAGACCTTGAAGATTCTCCTGCCTTCGAAAAACGACAGACTTTTTGTGTGAACGCTTGCTAATCTGGAAATTGTGGTTTTAGAAGCTCTGTCACACATGAGGGCGAATATAAAAATTTCATCCTTATATAATGAAGTTTTAAACAAATTTTATGACTTTATAATAACGTTTTGAGAGTTATAGTAGCTTCTGGTTGCTGGTAACTTCCTAAGAATCGAGTATGAAAATTTACTCTTTAATGAAAAACTATAATTAAAATTTGAGTTTCACATTTAGTAATCTAAGATCCCCAAAACTTTTTAAGCCTTGCATAAAAATAAAAAAAAATACGAATTATAACGATATTCTATTTGGATCTTCTGAAAAAGAGAACGTGTCACCGAATATAGTCAAAAGAATTGCTCACACTTCTACCCCCAAGGAATATAGAATTCGCTAACACTGAAGTCGATTCAATTTCAATAAAAACGGATTCCAAAACTGGACAGAAGGAAGTCATGCTTTGAATGAAATAAAGTCACGTAACGACGTTTCCCCAAGATCTATTTGAAAACTAGAAGGATTGTCTAACTCAAAACTTTGGAATCGAATATTTTTTTTTAGTGTTAAGAATAAGCTTTGGGGAAAGGGTAAGGAACACTCAACAAATCTTATTTCCGTTAAGAAAAAAATCACTTATATTTTTTTTAAGAAAAGGAATAGATTTTAACTGGACATTACCATGATATAACGTATCGATAATCAGTGATAAATTAGATCTGTCACTTTTCAATATCATGCATTATATCATGCTTATTTATTTTATTTTAACGTTTCAAGCCATTTTCATAATTAGGGGATACGGGTAAAAGATGGACAAAATGTAACAGTGAATAAATGTTATAAACTTAGTGTTACGAAATTAGGGTATAATTCTTTAAAAAACGTTATCTCAAATAACAACAGAGCCTTCCAAAAACAGTCATAAGCATTTATATTAAGTAATTCAATAACAGTTTCTCCGAACACAAATTTTTACAAGCAAACAAAATTTTAATTAAAGAAAAACACATTTATTTCAATAAAAATATTATTAACAATAAAAAATTCCCCACTTTAAAATAGACGAAAAAGCTCCAAGCTACAAAATACTCATTTCTCTTCAACTAACCCCGAAGTTTCTTGCAATTACGAAAATTCCTACTTTGCAACAATTACCACAGCGGCACTTCAATAAAACAAGCAATAAGATTTGTAATAACTTAAATTGAAACAATTGCTTCGTTCAAAGAGACAACTAAATTTTTGCAAAACATTTTTTCTCTCTCTCATTTTTTCATTCCTCAAAACGCTTCTAATTGCCGGCGATAACTGCAATCTAACACTACAATTCTCATAATTTTCCACTGTCGGCGCCCAATAACATTAGAACGCTAAAAAGAATTTTATTTTTCTATTTTTTTCTTTTCAGTTAAGGATTCGGGCAGAGCTCATTAACGAAAAAGGGGGCACCCGTTATATTTTTCGGTAATTAGTAGTCAGCACAGAGTTTTGTTTATCATTTACCAAGACTGCGGGGTTTACTTGTTGAGTTAGAAGCGATATTTCTCACTAATTACGCAAATTGGAGTGATATAAGTAGTTTTAGGGGAAGCAAGATATGCGAAGGAGCATGAATTATTAGAAATCGGATTAATTATCCAAGGAGAGTACCACCATGGGGAATTAGAAATCGCTGGTAGTTAATTTGCCTTTGCTCAAGAAACGTCGGATTTAATTAGACGGATATCCCAATACTAGACTTGCTTTATAAATGATTGCATTAAAATTATTTGTGCGAGAGAAAAATATCATTAAGAAACAAATAAAATACAGTTTTTAAATATGACCTTGGATAAAGATGTTTTTATATATGCATTCAGTTTCTTGGAAGATAAAAACTCAGAAAAAATACGAAAATGTTGAAATGAAATATTATGTATCTTATTATAATGTACGATCTTGCTGGTTACCAATAAAAGTGCGGAAAAAAAAGAAG